CTGGGGGGTGGCAGCGGTGCAGTGGTTAGTCAAGTGCCCCTATGAATTACGGTTACCTGTGTTCGATTCACGGCCATGGCTAACGTCAGCTACGAGCGATATCTAAACCGGTCATGGGCCCCCTGTTTAACCCATTGGGGCACTAAGCAGTCGGGCAAAGTATGGTCAAACAATCCCCATGGACTCATGCTGCGTGGGAAGGCCTTCGTCCAACAGTGCATTGACAAATGGCTGAAAATATGTTATGTATTATTAATTACATTACAAATTCAAGGCCATCAGGGATGCAACGACCTATTTCAACGGGGGTATGGCAAGATACGACTATGCCCGCCCCTCTCCCTTCTCCCGACTCACTTTTACTGAAATAGTTACGGATGTTTTATACCCGTATAGAATAATACGTAGGCTATAACTATGTATTATTGTTATTTTTTTCTGAAAATGTGTTTTACTTGTTAATCTGTGGATTCGGGGGCCCCGCTCGTGGCCGACTGGGCCCCCGGCGCGTCGCATAACGCTGCTGCCACGTACCTAACCCCAATAGCTGAGCCCCTGACGGCCGCGAATTCTGTAAAGGCGATGCCCTTTTTGCAAGTCCAGATTCAAGACCTTCCTCTTCTCCTCTGTCTATGACTCTTGGGAAAAAAAAACCACCCCCACTATATATGCCTCCTCTATCCCAATCAACGGCGGAGCCAGGATTTTCAGGTAGAGGGGGGCAACCCCTCCAGCAATAAAAAATGATAGAGGAGTTGTTAGTAAGTAAGGACCTTTGATTTTTATTCGACGCGTGTGCGGCGATGGCGCAGCCGTCGATCGAGAGTCGAATTCGAACCGCGTCGTGTAATCGGCATCGCGCTCGCTGAAGGCGAATGCCCTCAGGGAAGTTATGTTCTGTATACGCAACTGTGCACAATTCTGTGAGTCACTTATAACTGCTTTGCCATTACTTATTGCCAATAATAGAGTCCCTGGCACGTAATAATATGCTACACAGCGGCAGTGGGGATCGCAAAATGCCGATTTATTACTAATACACCCCAATGATCCGATCGAAATTAGGGATTTCGATCGGATCATTGGGGAGGCACGTGCCCCCCCCTCCCACTGGCTCCGCCAATGATCTCAATAATGTCCCACTATTCTGTGCGCTCTCTTGACAGATGTGTGGCTGAGGGGTGGAGGGCGCCTTTAATGAAACTCGGGGAAAACCGCTCCTACACATCAAGTCTAGAATCGCGAGCCATTGGTTACAGCGGCATAGCAGCCATGGATCATATCCACAGAAGCACTCCGACTAACTAACTATTAACTTTTTGTTTATTTTACCAGGTAAGGCCCACTGAGCTATGTAGCTCTTTTTCAGAAGCGACCTGGCCACAAATGATAGCTCAACGAAGTGGCTTACCACGTGGACATTTAACACATGTTGATTCTAAATGTGGAGGGCAAAACCGGAGGACCTGGAGAAATATCCAAGCAATCACGGGGAGAACATGCAAACCCCAAATATACAGCAGGCGTCAGGTTCGGGATTGACCTCTTGTAGACCAGGCGAGGGCGTTAACATCTCACCACTGCGGCGCCCACACGTCCCAGGGTCTGCGCGTCTCCGCTCGCAAGGCAAGGGCACCATGATGCGGAATGTGGCACGTGGCGGTGGGAGCCGCACGTCGCTGGAGCTTTGCTCGGCACTCGGCCCACGGGGTGCGAACGTGAAACCCGTCATGGCGTCGCACTCCCCTCGAGCCTCCAGCCGGTACTTGAGAGGGAAATTTGCTATTTCATGGAAGGGAATGGATTTCAACTGACACACGTCTTGGCTTTGATAATCCCCTTCACAAACACTGGTGGAACCATCAACCGCATCAGAACATCAACAGGCCGATGTGCACATCTCCTTCATGAATGGACAATTAAAATCAAGCCACAGTAGTGCGATTGTGGCCATGATATCCAAACTGTGGACCGTATAGCAAGCTCATAGAGACCCATAGAGATACATTAAAGCAGCGGTCGGGAACCTATGGCTCGCGAGCCATATATGGCTCTTCCAGTGACTGCATATGGCTCCCAGCCAATTTTGAGTTGAAAAAAGAATAAAAAAATAAAAAAGCAGTTTGGAACTGATTTAAAAAAATACTTGTGATATTGCTTAATAATACTGTGTCATTTTAAAGTAAACAGAAATTAGTTTTGAAGATAAATTTCACGGGTCACGCCTGCATGAAGCTCAACCTCACCACGTATGAACCAGACTACAAGGCCATCAGCAAAACCATGCAGCACCAGAAGTCGCATTAAAAGTAAGACATATTTAATTTATTATACGTTCAAAATACTATATGGCTCTCAATGAAATATATTTAGAAATATTTGGCTTTTATGGCTCTCCCAGTCAAAAAGGTTCCCGACCCCTGCATTAAAGACAAGTCACAATAGTGTGATCCTAGACATGCAACCCAAACTATAGTAAGGCACTGTAATATGCACTCCTTCAAAGGAGGATTAGCCAAACCACATTAACTCTCTCCTGAAGATGTCCTGTCACGGCTAGCAGAATCCAGCAATGGCATTTAGCTCCCGAGCATATTGCCATCGTGAACAAGAGTAGACAGAATAGAATGCTCCTTTTTAAATATAAGCAATCAAAAAACGACACTCGATTGTTTCTGTTGTTAAAAGCACGTTCCTTCAACAGAACCTCCCTCACGACGAGCGGAGGTCCCCCGAGACCGTTCACGATTGATAACAATCAACGGGGGCACACTCGCCTGATCTATAAGTGCGACATTAATTGGAGAGGTTCGCAATGCCGCGCCTCCCGGAGGGGGACCTTCAAAATAAGCGGCAGCAGGGCACACACGAGGCCAATCCTATATCCGTGCACGCCGGCGTCTAAATGGACAACTTTCCATTTCAGCCGGCGAGCGGAGGGTCAGGGGAGATCCCTGTTGCAAGTCAGGGGCGGCGAGCGAGAGCTTACATTTTCAGAAGAAAAAAAAAATAAGCTGCCCCTTAATCTTCGTCCCCCTCAACCGCCCCCCCCCCAGTTTTTTTTGGATGGCGCCGCCGCGATTCTGAACGGGCACCCAAACCCAGGCGGCTAAAAAAATAGACACGCTCAAGGCCGGCGGTGGTTTTTCGCAGGCGAGGCTCGTTTTTTTTTTTTTTACCGCGCGCAAACTTCACACTCCGGTGCCTTCAATGGGGGATTGATCGACGTCGCTTTAAAACAGCCCGCTGCCCGATAAGCGAAGCGAGTCAATTAAAAGAGGAGGCCTTGTGAGGTCACATTGCTTTGACGCAGATCCAGCGGGCAAAATGCTCTCGCACAGAGCTTTAATTTCCAGCTGTTGAATAAAAAAAAAGCAAGCAGCGACTCGTCGCAAATAGCGTGCGAAGACGAACGTCAATTAGAAATTAAATTTGTCATCAATTTACTCTTTTCAATTCGCTTCTAGATGAGCTGCCCTCCAAATTGCTGTGTTTTACACATTTAACATTTAACAGGGATGAAAGAATGCGTCAAGATTCAGTGATCTAAATTGATTTTACCACTCACAACACTTGGCTTTAGCCACTTACGCCAAGCCTGTTTCTCTGAAGCAACTGTCCCCAAGAGGGCCAAACAGGTCTGGGCCACGGCCACCTTTCTGTCCGTCAGCCTGCCCACTGCTGCCAAAGCTCCCAGCTTTGTCCCGAACAGGACTCTTCAGAAAGCCAAGCCAGCTCCTGAAGCAGTTTCCCAGCTCGCGGTGCGACATGTCACTGGCTCGGTCACCCGTGCCAGCTCTGACTGAGACACTGCCCACCATCAGCACGTCGTCCCTGTACGGGGATATATATATGGGTTGGCTCAAAAGTCAGGACACGTAGGGTAATTAAATTTATCGTAACACATTTTTGATCGTTTATTTTTCAAGCTATTATTTCATCTTGTATCATATTAACACCTATTTTTATTCTTCCTTTTCAGACGACATGTACAAAACTCAATCAATATATAGCGCCTTGGTTACGGCGCTACATACATTACATTAAGATAAGATACGAACTGAATTGGAAGCCTGTTACCTTCCCAGATGGACCTGTGCAAGACGGTATCTGTCGAGTCTCGATCCCGAACCTCACGTGTGACGCGGCCTGATGATTATCTTGAACCCCCATCGGGAGAATTAACGTTTTAAAGGCTTCTCAGTCTAACATTTTCTCTGAACCCACTGGATGGCACTGTAAATGTAAAGAAATTTCCACCCCTGTTCTGATACTAGGGCAGTCGAGGCCGCCTCGATCTCCAGAAGCCTTTGCACTTTGCTTAACGAGGTTTCCTTCAGACAGCAGTCTCAAGGGAGCTCCTGTGATAGCTGACCGCAAGGCCACGTTGATACATTTTTCAATGGTGCTTCCCGGCCATGGTACAACACACATATGCTTTTTTGTGTTCATGTTCATCTTCAAAGAACACCACCGCCGGTGATTGATACCCACAAAGCAGATGAAATCCTCACTTGTTGTCATCTCATCCGTATGCCTGGGCTTCCTGCATCAAAGTGCATTTGCAGAGCGGGCATTGAGATGTCGTGGAGAATCTAGGTTAGCGCGCGCTTGCCACTGAACCCGTTAAAAAGTCGAGTTCAGCTCTCATAGTCACGTGGTGCTTCCATGGGGGATTGATGCTGCTTCTGCAGCTGACATGGACGTGAAAAAACACGTGGCATCCTTCACATTTTGCGTGCTTTAGATGCACATCTGTGGCCGTCTGGAATGCTCCTCCTTCTGATATTAGGAAGCCACTGGGGCTATGCCCTGTTCAATCATCTAGAATGAAAATTCATTTCTGTAGAACTGCTTTCAGTGTTTAGTTCATTGTCATTCCTCCGCACCTCCGATTAGCACGGTTGGCTACATACGGTGCGAAAGAGGTTCAACATACATACATGGTCCGGTGTGTTTTGACATATCTGTGTCTGCCAATGCAGTAGGCGTCCACTCACCCTCAGACGTCCGAACTCACAGGCCAGGTCGAGGGGCGTCTTATTGTTGTTGTTGACGATGCAGGGGTTGGCCTGGTGTTGCAACAGCAGCTCGGACTGTGAGAGAAAACAATGGGTGTGGGGGAGGATGAGAGACGAATGGGGAGTGGGGATGGGAGGGGGGCAAAGGTAAGAGAGAGGCAAATGATGGCAAAAGTTACACTTCAGCAGCATTGACATCAGCGGTGGTGGCACGTGTCTGGCCTCAAATGATAAAGGTCGGCCTCCGCTGACTTTGGAGATGTGTGGCAGCGATGTGCGCCATCGACGCGGACTCACATCGCATAGGAAAGGGCAGCAGACGTCAGTAACCAGAAAACACTGACCAGAGAGCCCCAGTAGAGGATCTTTGATCTTTGGCCCGCTCTCGCATGCTGATGCTGCGCACGCAGTGTAATAACTGTATTCCTCGCAGAATGTAATTATCCAAGTGGACAACGTTATAGTGGAGGAGAGTACTTTGTCAAATCGTTGCTGGTTCAGCAACGATTTGACTTCCAAATAGAGACGTTTAAAGTCTCAGTGGTTATACTGATCACCTGCCTACCAAACAGGATTCGTGGCTCCACCATGCGAGCCCAGAGATGCGAGCGGTTGTGCTGCACAGCCCTCTGATGCGTGTTCGTGTCGCCTTCACTTCAGTCCCTTGCGTAGCTCCGACCGAGGGAGCGCGTGGATAAGAAACATCGTGCCGAACAACAAGCGGTAACAACCCGCGAACACATCGGAAGGGCCCCACAGGACCTGGTGTCTTGTGGATCGCACGCTCAGAAGTGCATTTGGCTGGCTTCATACACCGCACCTCTACCGAGCACACAGCACTGCACCCTAAAGCGACGAGTGCGCTTCGTTCCTGTGTTTACCTGCAAGCAAGGGAAATCGTGCCACTTCCAGTTCTCGTGCTCATTGCTGCAATGCGTTAATCGGCAAGCAAGCAAAGTAAGCAGTTGAGCGTATTGGCGGTACACCAGTGCGCGGTATAAAAAAAACAAACGCATTTTTTATTTTCCCACGATTCACAACCGTGGTCAGAAAATCTTGCGGGGTGGAGGTGGTGCGTCAAAATCAGTTCTCGTGATGTCGAAGCGGTCGTAAGACGAATGTTCGTTAAAATGTTGATTTTAGACCGTTTACTGAGGACCGGTGTGTTACACTGCACCGGTGTACCGCCAATACATTCGCTTGCTTTTAGGCGTGCCGTGCATTCACGATCCGTGCGGGTAGCCCAGCCGCATCAATCTCAACTTGCACGGCGGCGCGCTAACATATATCGCCGCGCCGCCAGTGAACAAAACACACCGGGGCCACGATGATGGATTTAATGCGGCGCTTAATGTCCTCGGTGAAAACGAGCTTCTTCTTTTTTCGCGATAATTGCCTGCACCTGTCAGCACGATAGACACCTTTAAATGGCAAATATATATTTATATTTTTTCCGCAGGAACAAGAGCTAGGGGTAATTAATTTGGTTGCGTGGCACGTCTGCATTCAGTGGGATTAACATTCCGTGAGGTGAAAGGGGACCTTTGGAAAAGCTTTCAGCACACCACAGTATTTGATTGCGATGGGGAAGGCGGGGTGGTCAAGAGGGGCCTGAGTTCAATTGCCAACCCAGGCGCCTCTGGAGTTTGTACATTCTCCCCCCTATTTTCAACGAAGCCATTTTTATTTCACCAGGCAAGGCCCACTGAGCTATGAAGCTGTTTTTTCAGAAATGATCTGGCCACAGATGCAAGCTCAACTAAGTGAATTATCACCAATGTGGAAATTTCTAGCAGCCAAACACTCTAAACGCGTGACATTGATTCTAAAACGTGGAGGGAACAAAACCGGACGACCAGAAGAAAAATCCACGCGACCACGGGGAGAACACGCAAACTCCAAATATACAGGCGTCAGGGTCGGGATGGAACCCACGAACTCCTGTACACCAGGTAAAGTAGTAGTTAACATCTCGCCACCGTGGCACCCCTAATTACTTAAATTGGATGACAAATAGCAAATGTCGACCCCCGACTGTGAAAACTTGGCAGGACCCCCTTGTTGGCTGAGGATTTCCTGGGCAAACAAACACAATCATAATGATAATAATAATACTATGTGCTAAATGCTCAACAAAGGCGCTTGCTACCACAGCAAGCACACAATGACGGCCACGTGATCAATGTTATTTAGCAGTATACAGGAGGAGTGTACACGAGTACGAGAACTCGAACTGGGCGGGAGTTGTGGCACATTGGTCAGCACACCGAGTTACGGTGTTACCCTAACAAACACATGCCATTAACGATGCACAGCAGTTAAAAAACATTCGCTGCATTTTGACACGGAGGGGGAAGAAAATAATCTAAATGTAGTTTGAAGGACACGCTGTTAATTAAAGTAACGTGATATTGCAGCGTTTGGCGCCCTCCAATTTTACACGTAAAAAAATTAATTAGTTGCTTGCAGAGATTAAAACCCAGGCATTTGTGGGCGGTATTAGAATTTTTTTTTTAAACAAAAGCACAAAAATGTTCTCGGTATGAAAACGCAGCGGTGTGGGGGGGGGGGGGGTGACACAGTTTCACTTCACGAGGCAAAGCTCTCAGCGTTCCCAATGATCGATTTTCCTTTGAGTGACCCTTAAGCTAATGCAGAGCGTGTGTTTCAACTTGATCGTTATCAACGAAGAATCTTAACTCCTTTGGCACTTGAACAGCCTCTCAATCTGAAGGTCCTTGTACAACTGGGGCCGAGATTTTATTTTTTCTTGTCGCTGCTGCCGCTGACCGAGGTTTCGTTTTCCAGCGCCGCCTGGCTCGGCTGCTGCCGCTGCCGCGGTACAACGGTTCGCAATCCAGAGGTCCCCCCTCGGTTCGAATTCGATTCACCGGTGCGGCAGTTGAGAGAATGGTGCAAAAGTTGAATAAGTCGCCGCCACCACCACCCCCAAAACCCCCAACTCCACGCACCCAGCAGCATTATAAATGGATCCACCACAGTTAGTTGATCGGCAGACTGCATGCGGTGGGGATAAAGCGATGGGTACTCCGACCTCTTTCAAGACATCTGGCAAGTAGGCCAACTACTCTATCAACAGGGGCTCTTCTCTCTAGCTCCCTTTAGTGGAGGTCCTTCAGCCAGCAGTGGCGTGAGCGAGCAGCTGCAGGGCTTTTGCTGCTTCATTCATCCCTTACTTCTAGATTTGAAGCTTTCGTGACTGCAAGGATTCATATTCTTAGGTTTTTTCGGTAAAGTCACGTAGGTAAAAAATTCAAATTAATAAAAGTAAAATAAAAATAAAATAAAAATCACGACGTTTCGGAGGCAACACAAGCTTCCATCTTCAAGTGGAACCGTCACAGCACGATAGCTGTACCACTTGATACAGCTATCCTTCATCCCTGTTTGTAAAACGCACAGTGAGTGCATCAGTGCGAGTGCGCTGCCAGTTACACTTCATGATGCCATGCTAACAGCCCTTGCTGCTGAGCAACGCTAATTTCAGAGTGAGCATGTGCGTGCGATTTTACTGGCGATCTGTGGTGTGAGAGCTGCGAAACCATTCCTTTGTTGCAGGCCTGGGGTGAGGAGGCATTCATTATTGCACCTCGCACGCTTCCAATAACCATCTTTTTATCCCCTCGCAAATCGTGGCAATGCAGCGGCAAGTGATCGTTTGCGCGCCGTAAAACGAGAAATCTGACCACCTGCCAAATGGAAAGGCAGCACGTTGAGCACACTGGGTGTGCACCATAGGGGTGCACGTGGGGGTATATGTAGGGGTGCGCGTGGGGGTGCGCGTGGGGGTGCGCGTGGGGGTGCACGTGAGGGTGCACGTAGCAGTGGCGCAGCTATCGAGGGTGCAGGCGGCGCAACTGCGTCAGGGCCCGCGGGGCTGCGCTGAGCAGGGTGGGGTAATTGTGCAGCGGGCCCCATTTCATTGATTGAGTCCGTGCCAAAGGATGACCCTTTGGCGATGCACACGAACCACCTTGGGCGAATGATAGCGGAAATGAAATGGGGCGGTGGTGGCGGTTGAATGAGATGTGTTTAATCGACCCACCACAGTTTGTGTTTCAATATTAATAACATTTGTGAATTCATTTACAGTCCTTCTCATGAATTATCAGTAATGTGGAGGGGGGGGGGGGGCGGGGGTGTTTCACTTTACTTCACCAAACTGTTCACTGCGGATTGTTGAATGCCGACTCAGGACTGGCTTCAGAGAGGGCACTCGCCACCGATATCAGGATGGTCATAAATTGAAACCCAAGTCGCACTGGGTTCATGGCGAAACATGCCAACCACCGTGCCACCACCGCCCCACCCTCTTTCAATGTTAGCATATTACAATGCTAAGTCGATCGCACCATGTTACTGGTGAGTTATATTTGATCGCGCATTACTTGCAGGATGGGAGTCACATCGCACGATGGATTCCCTGGCACTGACCGCCGTGCTGCTGACCTGAGGGCAACGGAGGCCCGTTTGTCCTCATCGTGCCCCGCACGGTTGCCCCGAGGCAGAATGCTATAATTCAGAAGCAACGTCACGTGTTCATAGAGTATTTGGCTGCTATAGTGATAAGCCACTTCGTTAAGCTATCATTTGTGGGGCAGGTCACTTCTGAAAAAGAGCTGCATAGCTCAGTGGGCTTTAGCTGGTAAAATGAAAAATTATAGAAAGTTTAGTTTTAGTTTAGTTTTGAAGAGATGTATAAAGATATTTAAATTGGATATTTTGATTAAAACGGAAGCCTTGTATCCACCTAACGTGGCCCCCTCTCCACCTTCGGCCACGTCCCCCTTCTAGAACTCACTTACCACACGTCCCCTCTATCCCCCTTGCCTCGCGTTCCCTCTGTGGCAGCAACCAGTGCTATGTGCGATACTGACACATTCCCTGTCACGACATCTCTATGGAAGTGAGCTCTTAATTACGCCCTGCGGCAGACACCTCATCCACCCACGGTATGCATCCGCTACACTTTGGGAAAAAGCAGCTCATCTCCACAATGCATGCGGTATACGCTGTGATGTGTACCTCAAGCTTATTTAAGCTGACGCATCGGAGTAATGATAAATATGAAAATTTTAAGTGACTGCTGCGGCAGTGGCACATAAGCACAGATCCAAGAAAACAATCACCGCCTTTGAGGCAATTATCTCTGGCCTGACGCTTTATGTTACGATGCAAGGGATGGCGGCAGCGAGGATGAAATCAAAGAGTTTGGTGGGCATGGCTGGACATGAACAAACCAAGGAAAGGAAAGAACGGAGGAAATATTTGGGGGAGGTCTCTTACCCAGCACAGCGGGAAAGTTACCGGCTGACAACAGCCTACTTATATAATAGAGGTTTTTTGGGTTAGATCGCGTACATCATCCAATACAGCCAACTAGTAAGTAAAATCGTTTTTCTTGCTGTGGTTTTCTCACTTGATGATGATTGCTTGTGTTGCAATCGAAACGTCGTGATTTATTTTATTTTCTACCTACGTGACTTTACCGAAAGAACCAAAGAGTATGGATTCCTGCAGCCACGAAAGCTTCAAATCTAGATAGTAAGGGTTGTCACGTAAACAGAACGTGCCAATTCGTCACTAGTACAGCACACCGGTGTGTTGGAGAGCCAAGCCACAACATTTACAATCTGAGTACGACGTTTCGCCAGTAATTACAACTAGCTTCATCAGGCGACAGCCAGAGTTGTGGAGAAGTCCACCTGTTTTCTAGAGGCGCAGATGTGGTGACCACCCTTCTGCACTCTTGCATAATGTGGGGGGGGGGGGGGGACGGGATTACTGAGGCAACGTGCATTATGCATGTGCATTATGCGAGCCCTTTGATCTTGTCCTTCCTGTCTATTGTGTGTATTAAATAGCCGTAAAAACGGTAATCCCTATTGGATGATATTGGTCGCGAAAGCCTACGTGCTAAAGCCTACCTATACTTTACATATATAACACAGACTAATTACGAGGGTACTTGTGGAGGAGAATATAAGAAATAGTTGTGCTCAGTATTATATGAATTATCGCCAAACGAGGACCCATATCTTAAAGAGGGGGTCCTTGCCTTGATTATTATCTGGACGGTTCACCAGTGAGCCTGACTCGACTGAATGAAACCAATCCAGAGTTTTGCTTGTATTGAATCAATACTGCTGAAATGATGCACTTCCAGGAGACCTTGGGGCCAATGAGAGGCGAATGAAAAAGAGATATATTGACTGCTTATTTACATTTTTAAATAGATATTTTTTGGGCTGATAGTGTGAACTGACACAAGTTATGAATTGCATTTTATCATTCGTGATAACAACAGCAACAACTTGACAATAATATCGCAATCATAAATTGCTATTTCTTCTCTGAAGACGAGATTGCACCCTAAGTTCTCTGAGGCACTGGCAGCAACACTGTGTTGGAGACACGAGGATCAGCGGCTTCGTGTCGCCTGTCTGCGTTCATTCGCAAATGAAATATTTCGCGACCATTTTATTTCTCAACTCTGCAAGCTCTGACTGCGGTGGAGGGGTGCAACTATAGAGCCCAGCAACCCGAGTTGAATTCCCAGCCGTGGTTACCATCAGGGGTGAATGAAATCTAAACCGGCACACTGACCAGGATTGGTGAAGTATGGTCAAACAACCCCCCCATTATTGACAAGGTACGGGGAGGCCTTCGTCCAAACAGTTAATACGTTACATTACTTTGTGAGTAGATGACATCTGATGAAGAATAAAACAAATGTAAGTGTAGCTCCAATCCGTGCCTCCAGATATATATATACACATTTACATTTATACACACACAATTACATTTCAATCTGTAATCCAACAGCCCCATTGGCTCTTCAGACCAACGTCATCGAGCGGCGCGTGCCTCAGAAAGAAATCCGCGGTCTGGTTTTGATCTCCTGGGTCTCATCAGGAGAGTCAAAAATGTGTTGAAAAAATGCTTCTGGATGACCAGATGGTGTTGGCAACATGTCAGCACTCCCCGCTCCCCACCCCCGTTCAACGCCAAGATAAGAATGATTGTGTGTGTGCAGCATGACACTTGGTGTGCCGGTCTGACGGGCAGACCAAGACCAACGAGAGTTCAAAGGAAATTGAAAAAAACAACTGATAGATGCTCTTTACCTAAGCACCTGAGTACTGTGACTGCCTGGTGGTGCATTTCAAAGGAAACGAAATTGAACCACGAGGCAAACAAAAGAGTAATTAAAGCAGTCATCAAATAAGTGCCGTAAATAGGAAGGGCCAATGGACGAACTGTAAGCCCAGCTAAGCTTCAAAGCAAATAAACAAAAGTGATGAATTAATTATTAATGAGCGGCCTGAAAACAACCAAAACACTTTACTCAACGCGCGATATATAATGCGTACGAGCATATTCCTGTAAAAACTTGCCAAGTTTTATGGTTGTTATATGCGCAGTTTATATGGAGGGCTTGTGGCAATACAATTTGGTAATCGAGCAGCATTTGTTTAACCAATGCTTGGCTGTGCTGATGAGACCAATGAGATCGAAACTAGACCAGAGATTGATTTCCTAAAGCAAACGCCGCTTGAGATGATGGGCGGTCTGTAAAGCCAATGGGCTGATGGGTTCAAAAGGTAATTGTGTTTTCGCGTTCATACAAACAAACAATACAGGTAGCGTTGTCATTGATTGTGAAAACCTGCAAAGGCAACCATTGGCAATCGCAGCTTCAGGCTGGCGGAGTGTCAGGTCCCGCTGCAAAGGGGTTAGCGCCGCCGTGTGCGTAATGGCCTTTTTAAAGCCGCCGCTCAGATCAAGCAGTGGCGAGCTGACACACAACTTCATCATAAATAGCAGCAGCGGCGTATATTTAAAAGGACACGAGTAGCCGTTGCGTCAATCCAAAGTCAGCTTTCGGGGGGCACATGTTTGGGCAAAACCTGCTTGATGTAGACCCACTGATTAACTGAGAGAAAAAAGCTGTGAAATTGATAAGACTCTAACGTATCAGGACAAGTTTTTTTTTCTTTTAACACCCGTGTTTGACGTGTGGGCTGAAATATTATGATACCGCATTGGCAGTGATGCACAAGGACAAATAACAGAAAACTCAACAAGTTCATCAATAACACTGTCATCAAAAGAAACCAATATTTCCTATAGTAATAGAAGACGTTTAAGGCAATGGCCCTTTTACACAGCAGGGAGATATCTCTTCAACGAGAAGGCACTGTTTTTTTCAAGCTTTGTGAAGCAGGTTGCCAAAATCATTGCTTCAAAAAGAATGGGTCCTCGGCATGAGAGGCACAGTGATACCAATGCATCAAATGCACCACTGTAACTAACAACAATCATCCATTTTTTGAAAACCGACTTAGCAAAATGAGTAATTTGCAATAAGTATGTGTATTAAAAAAAACCTCATCAGTACAACAGACCTCCCTTTTATCCACAGCGACACATCGTACACCCCATTATCTGTGGGGTCATCCGTAATTTTACTTCACGTCTCCGTGGGGGAAAAAAAGCAATTAGTCGCAGACAACGGGATGAATTTGCCAATAGGAAGGCGTTTTGCAATGCTCGGGATGAAAAGGGCCAAATATAATCTGAGTTTTCGCAGACTCTGTGAATCAGAGGACCTCTCGTGTACTGCATGTTGTGCTCCGGCCTGTGTAGCTCGGCGGTGGAGCGAGCGGCTCGCAATCAGAAGGCTGCACGTTTAAAATCCTGGCTGGAAGTTGACTCAGCCCATCATCCCTCTGTGGTCAATACAATAAGCACCACTTTATTGGGAAAGACATCTGTGCTTGTCCTATTCTTGGTTCTTTCGGTAAAGCCACGTAGAAGGGAAATAATAAAATAATATAAAACAATACAAATTCTCACGACGTTTCGACTGCAACACAAGCAATCATCATTAGGTGTGAAATCCACAGCAAGAAAATTTGAAAAAAGTGGTGGTTTTTCCTAACATCAGCACCACAGACAGCGATTTGGCAGTTTGCCAGATGGACGAGTCCATCTATGTTCGGTAAAGAGGAGGGGGGAGCAGAAAATGGAATGCGGTCTGAAAGTCACCGTAAGCGTGAACACAATCAATTAAGACCCGAAATGGTTTATCAAATCCTTCCAATAATTGCTAAGCCAGAATCCATCTTTGTCCTATGCCTCCGCCCTAGGAATGAGGAATTTCCGTCACTGGCTCCAGGGCTGTAAACAGGAGATGAGTACCACCCGAATTGTCATTTTGAGCACGAAGTCAAGTTCGATTTTTTTATGGCCTCCCTTAAACAAAGGCGGCTATTGCGGCATTTGCTCCCATTGGACGTGACGGTGATGAGCAGGAGAGGAGCAGCCTCACCACTTGGTAGTGTCCATTCTGCACGGAGAGGTGCAGTGGGATCTGCCCGTCGCCAGACTGCAGGTTCACAGACGAGCCGGCCTTGAGAAGAATCCGCAAAGGCTCCACCTTTCCCTGCCAGGCCGCGTAGTGCAGAGGCCTGAGGCCTGTTGTGAGAATAACAACAACAACGATAACAATCATAAAAAAAAACAACACAAAAAAACACACTCACAGAAATGCACAATTCTATCCATCACGTGTCACCCTCCTGAATGAGGGTTGATGCCCATGGCAGATGCTTTCCGACGTGTGCAATCTCGTGCAGCTATTACGGAGAATCCTGTGCAACCGCTCGCATTGTCCCACCGATGGATCCATTTCCTTCCACTTCCCCTAACTTCCCTTCCACGCATTTGCCGATAACCAAGTCGCATTAAACGCGCCCAATCTCATTAGAGCTCAAGAGGGTAAGCGTGGTTGTGGTTGAGCCTGGTTAGCACTCATATTGGAGTTTGCTGTGGAATGCCAAGTGTTGTTGGCTTGGACTGTGAGATCAGGAAATGGGAATACAGAATGTTTTTTTCTTCTATTCGTGTGGAGATTTGAGTGTTATCGCCAGGCATGCATGGGTTTTCTTTGGACACTTCAGTTTCCATCCACATCCATAATATCGGCCAACCGTCGAAATGTGGGGCCCCACCTGAAATGAGTTTTGAGATTCAGGCGTTCCTGAATGAGGAAAGGGCATTTTCCAAAAATGATTTAACAGTTTATTCATATATATACAAGTATATGCATAGGCAGCAATTACACTGTGCCTACATGCACGGGGGCATGCTGGGATACAGTGCTTTAAAGCCGCCCTTACAAAATCTCATTGTAAATTCTCTTTTAAATATATATTTTTCTTCGTATCTTCTATAAATACGTGCATATACAAAATTGTGCCTTTTTCAAATCGGAGGGGGTATAGAAAATACTGTAATAAACCGACATTGTACCTTTGTTATCTTTCATGTCCACGTGGGCCTGGGCCTCCAGAAGAAGGTTCATTATCTCCGTGTTCCCATTGAGGGCTGCGTGATGGAGGGCGGAGAACCTGCACGAAAAGACACGAACGATGTTTGTGACGGACGTCAGCCCTCGAATGCGGGTGACACACAAACTTTGATGATTTGATGAACTGTGGTCGTGTGGATTTTTTGCTCCGGGTCCTCCGTTTTATTTCCCCCCTCCACACGTTTGTAAGTATGCATTGAGTGTATTTGGCTGCTATTGTGGGCCACTTCGTTGAGCTATCATTTGTGGCCAGGTCGCTTCTGAAAAAGAGCTATATATGTAGCTCAGTGGGCCTTACCTGGCAAAATTTATAACATAGTTTGGTTAGTTCAACTGCTTTTTGTATTTAGTTTGTTGTCCTTCCCCCGCACCTCCGATAAACACGGTTGCCTACTTATGGTGCGAAAAAAGTTCAACGTCATGTAGGTGAAAACAATAAAATTAAAAAATTAAAACTAACAACTATTTTTTATTGTTTTCACCTACATGACGTCACGAAAACTTCAAATCTAGAAAAATTCAACATACATACATACATTTCTGAAATGGGTAGGGGGTAAAAAAAAGAAATCAACCCATGATGATGACTGTTATCCTGTGGTGAGCACAGAGGGATATGTTTTGACATCTGGCCGACTGTTGTTAGGGCCGTTCTACACAGCCGTGCTGTGTATCGTTGTAGCTGCTCGTGTGTTTGCGTGCTGCAAAATCTGCAGCACACAACGATGACATTTTATATTGGTAATGGGAATAATTAGTTTTCGATATAGCACCTAATGCACCGGGGCGTTTCAGAGTGCTCTGCATCACATCTCACCTCGACACATTTCAAAGGGCACCCCTCGGGGTGGTAGCTCTCCTTGTGCAGCACAAAGTGACTCGGGTGTTAGTTTTGCAAGTAGGAGCCGATGATTCTGATGTTTCATTCCAAAAATTCTCCCCACAAATGTATCAAATTGTGCAATTGGAATCTCCAAAAATATATTTTCACTATTTACCAACCGTGTGTGATCATCAATCAATATTCCTGATGAGGCTACAAAGTGATCCGGTAATTATTTATCGTTCAAATCACACGCAGGACGTGTATTGTGCATATTAGGGGAGTATTGATTGATCGATCCATCGATTAACGTCTCATCCGAAGTTCGCAATACGTGCATCGAATCGCGTGCGCAAGAACTCCTGTATGTTCTCGGATTCATGAAATCATGGCTTCCAAGCGACCCAAACAAGCACGAGAGCCCCGCTACATTCACAACAATGTACAAACAAAGATACACAATAATCGTTTCCTGACTTGCCTTGTGATCCGTGATCATGACTATTCACAACTTACGTAGCCAACCGCGCTCCATCGGAGGCGATTCGTGAGAAGGAGCGGGGGAATGTGAATTGTTAACAGTCCGAGTGCACGCGGCACGCTACAAAGTTTGATAAAGATTCCTTTTAATGTCATCATCACTTGACTTGGCCCCATGTTTTGGTTGCAGAGTTTACGGTGGAACTGCTCTGCTGGCCACCCGAACACCAACCACTCGTTCACTCGCCAACTCCATTCTTACGACACCTCCGATTAGCACGGTTGGTCACGTACGGTTCGAAAGAAGTTAAACAATACATACATTCATCTTAGATTTTCACTGACACCACACGTTTTTTTTACGTGTTTTTGTGTTTCTCTGTGACCCATTGTTTTGGCAGAATCAAGACTATGAAAAACATTGCAAGCTTTACGCTTTCCAGCATGAATATAGATGTCAAGACGTTCAAACACCAAATAGACATCCAAACAAGAAGGCCTGTGGTAAAACGTGTTTTTTGCACTTGAGTCTTTTCTGCGGTTGTGCCCTTGGAGTATGCTGCACAATTGTGTATGTTTAATAAAACTTTGCTTTCGGGGAACAAAAAACGCACATGAGAGAGCTATCAACGTGCAAGGTCGTATTCAGAGTAAAGCCTCTGTATTTGAGAATGTGTTTTGGATCAATGCAACGAGTCCAAAGAATGTGGACTAAATATAAAATTTTGGTCAATGCAGAATAAAAAGTACAAATGTGGATTGATGAAAAAACGATTTTGACATCGTGGGAAGCGAGATCACGTCTATCGCGTCACTTCTGTGCTGTTCGTGACAAAAGTGCCGTCGTTTTTGCCAATGTGTGGCGGCACTTTTGTTTAAATTATTCAAATAAAGTTGACATTTTTGTTTCATGAGGACCGTAGTCTTACTGATGGAACTTTGCGTGAAAAAAATATGAATCCAACGATTAATACAGGTGGTCTTCGGTTTACGACGTTCCACATTTACGACGTCTACATAACGCCACCATCGATCGATTAACGACACAGAAACCTGATTCACGATGCATCTTGAACAGAGTCTGTCTGGTTTACGATGTGACTCGGCGTGGAGGTGTTGTTTTTGTGGGATTTTTTTTACCGATTAAACACCGTTAAATATGGCTGATGAAAGGAAAAACATACTGTATCGGGCAAGTCATGTTTCTACTGCTTCTAACGCCTATAGGAAAATAGGGGTCCGATTTACGATCGGGTTTCCAGGAACGCATCGTGTCGTAAAAGTGGGGACCGCGTGTATTTGAAATTGTTGCAATGATTTCATTTTGTCCCGAAACTATGTATTAAAAAATGGCATGCATGCAAATCGGAAGTGAAATCTGTACTTGGGCCGAAAGGTAAAAAAATGTCAGACATCCAAAAACATTTAAATCTGAAAACGTTTGATACTCTCTCTCTCAACGTGGGGCTCTCTCTTTACAGATGATTATATATGCAGTCACTTTGTGCTACGGCTCATTAAATGTTTGTTTAATTATTATTGTATATTGTATCTTATCTTATTCTTGTATGGATGTCTGTTTAGCTATTCGTATATGAGCATAAATTTGCTGTTTTTATTGAAAATGCAATATTTGATATCTCAAAAACCTGATGTGATAGACAAAAACTGATGCCAGATTTGGAATCAGCACCCCAAAATTACATTAAAAACCGTTGGAATACCTTATGCCAGAAAAAGTTTGTTGACCAGTGTTATCTGCCGGGACACCCACGAGGTTTGGCGCACACAGTCTCTCGCACTCCCGCACGCTCGGCGTGAAGGGGAACATCTCCCGCTTGGGCACGGGGAGGAGAACACGACGGAAACACCTCCCGTCCAAAGATCGGCGGCAAACTTTGAATTCCATTCTACGAGCGCTAATGCTATCTGCGCTGCTTTCAAACTCTGTTCATTCCAGAGGTGGGACAAAGTCATTGTTATGCAAGTCCAAGTCGAGTCTGAAGTCATCAAATTCATGACTCGAGTCTGACTCGAGTCCAAGTCACATGACTCGAGTCCACACCTCAGAGGTGGGACAAAGTCATTGTTATGCAAGTCCAAGTCGAGTCTGAAGTCATCAAATTCATGACTCGAGTCTGACTCGAGTCCAAGTCACATGACTCGAGTCCACACCTCAGAGGTGGGACAAAGTCATTGTTATGCAAGTCCAAGTCGAGTCTGAAGTCATCAAATTCATGACTCGAGTCTGACTCGAGTCCAAGTCACATGACTCGAGTCCACACCTCAGAGGTGGGACAAAATCATTGTTATGCAAGTCCAAGTCGAGTCTGAAGTCATCAAATTCATGACTCGAGTCTGACTCGAGTCCAAGTCACATGACTCGAGTCCACACCTCAGAGGTGGGACAAAGTCATTGTTATGCAAGTCCAAGTCGAGTCTGAAGTCATCAAATTCATGACTCGAGTCTGACTCGAGTCCAAGTCACATGACTCGAGTCCACACCTCAGAGGTGGGACAAAGTCATTGTTATGCAAGTCCAAGTCGAGTCTGAAGTCATCAAATTCATGACTCGAGTCTGACTCGAGTCCAAGTCACATGACTCGAGTCCACACCTCAGAGGTGGGACAAAATCATTGTTATGCAAGTCCAAGTCGAGTCTGAAGTCATCAAATTCATGACTCGAGTCTGACTCGAGTCCAAGTCACATGACTCGAGTCCACACCTCAGAGGTGGGACAAAGTCATTGTTATGCAAGTCCAAGTCGAGTCTGAAGTCATCAAATTCATGACTCGAGTCTGACTCGAGTCCAAGTCACATGACTCGAGTCCACACCTCAGAGGTGGGACAAAGTCATTGTTATGCAAGTCCAAGTCGAGTCTGAAGTCATCAAATTCATGACTCGAGTCTGACTCGAGTCCAAGTCACATGACTCGAGTCCACACCTCTGGTTCATTCACACATTGAGCTCCCGTCTGCTGATCTGCACACTCACCGAAGAGACATTTGCTTCACGGGTTTTCCACCTGCGCGTCTTTGCAAGCCAATGTGATGATCCCCCTGTCTGTCTGAGTGCATTATCATCATCGTCTAAGTCAACGTAACCCCATGCAATGTCAATTACTTTGACATCCATTTCTACATCCCGTGCTCAAATATTGCATGGCCAATAGTGGTTACATAGGCATATCTATTAGGAATTTAGTATCGTACAATATTGTATATTTCGATTTTTGAACTGTATATGCCAGCACAAAAATGGCTGGCTCGTGTATATTTGTATGCTGAACTTCTTTCGCGCCATACGAAGCCAGCCATGATAATCCGAGGTGAGAGAGAAGGCCAACAATCTAAACGCAAAAAGCAGTTCTAAAAAAACGAGTTTTCAAATCTAGATCATTTAAAAGTGCAAAGCTCCACTGGCTTCGTAATATCTAAAGGAAGAATGTTCCAGACGGCCGCAGAAGAGCATCTGAAAGTGCGCGAAATGTTCTTTCACGTCCATGTCAGCTGCAGAAGTAGCATCAATCCCCCATGCAAGCACCACGTGGCTATGATAACTAAACTCGACCTTTTAACTGGTTCAGTGGCAAGCGCGCGCTAACCTAAATTCTCCACGACATCTCAATGCCCGCTCTGCAAATGCACTTTGATGCAGGAAGCCCAGGCATACGGATGAGATGACAACAAGTGAAGATTTAATCTGCTCTGTGGGCATCAATCATCGGCGGTGGTGT